TTTAGTGGGAAATGTAAGCCACAAAAAATAAGGTATGGCTTTTAGAGACTAAAAGTCAGGAAATTAAAGCTGCAAATTCCAGGTTTGGTGAGCTGCACAAAATGGGTGGTGATCTCATTTACTAGCTCAAGTGCAGGAGGGTAAGGATAAGAGTCGCCAAGAGACTGTAACTGCATTTGAAGATTGAAGATGGCTGCAAATTCCTGTATGTTTCTATGGCTTAATTTTATGTTTCTAAAGATTCAGGAATGAGGAAACAGCTGTTAGTGGAATCCAGTGAAAATAGACAGATGTGCACATTCCAGATTACATCATCACAGTGGCCATCAAATATTACTCTTGTTGGCAATCTCAGTATAGTGGCCAAGAGCTGAGTGGACATAGAGACTGAATTACCCTTTCTCATTAACACAGTCCCTCTAGTATAGCATTAGAGCATGTTGGCAGGGCAATACTGGGCAGCTTGCATTTATGCTGCCAACATAATATCTGTTTTGAGGATACGAAAGAGAATTAAATAGTGCCCCAGTCTCATCAAGTGTAAAATAATGTAGTTTTGAAATCAATGGAATGACTCCGCTTTCCACCAGCTTAAGAACCTAACCCACTGTCTTTCACTGGCTCTACATTTGTGCAGTTGTTTTTCGAACTGTAAGAATGAAATATGAATGAAGTGAGTGAGTAATCCAGACATTATAGCTCTAGGTTAGTGCATGAAAAAAGTGAAAATGACTGGAAAATATTTTAACTTATAGGAAAACTGAATCAAATGAAGCAAAATGCAGGACAATGTAGCACTATGTCCTGCATTTTGCTTCAACTACCCCAGACTAACACGGCTACATTTCTATCACTATGAATCAAATGAGAAATCTTTAAAAAAAAAGAATAGCATAAACATTAAAAATTACAATTTTCAATTTTTTTTTTACTTTTAATAATCTAAGTTATTTTGTAACACAACAAAGGCATTATTTTAAAATGACCATTAACCTATAAAACTCCTTTAAGTGGCTAAGAACTTTTACATTTTCTTTGCAGCTTCGGGGGGTTACTGAGTTAGTCTGTACAGGATAAACTTAAAAAACAACAAATGGTCTGGTAGCACTTTATAGACTAACAAAACATGTAGATGGTATCATGAGCTTTTGTGGACACAGCCCATTTCTTCAGATGACCGGAGTGCCCACGAAAGCTCACGATACCATCTACCTGTTTTGTTAGTCTTTAAAGTGCTACCAGACCATTTGTTGTTTTTTAAGTTTATCCTGTACAGACTAACTCAGTAACCCCCCGAAGCTGCAAAGAAAATGTAAAAGTTCTTAGCCACTTAAAGGAGTTTTATAGGTTAATGGTCATTTTAAAATAATGCCTTTGTTGTGTTACAAAATAACTTAGATAAGCCTATATATGTGCAAAAGGGAAAAAGGCCTGTGAGGTGTGCCAGGAAAGGAGGGATTGTATTGACCAGTGCTGGAAAATAAGAGTGAAGGAAGAGAAGGGAATTCCTGTGGGTTGACTTGTGTTAACTTCTACTTTAAGGCAAGGATTTTACTGATGATGCATTCTGCACATTTGGCCACGTAAAAGAAAAATTACCCCCCTCCCCCCACCAAACTATGCCTTTAAAGTTCCTTTGTTGTGAGAAATGTAGCCTAGTTGTCCCCTCTCATTTTGCTTTCTTTATAATAATCATAAAATCATAGAATACTAGGACTGGACAGACCTCGAGAGGTCATCGAGTCCAGTCCCCTGCCCTCATGGCAGGACCAAATACTGCCTAGACCATCCCTGATAGACATTTATCTAACCTACTTTTAAATATCTCCAGAGATGGAGATTCCACAACCTCCCTGGGCAATTTATTCCAGTGTTTGACTACCCTGACAATTAGGAACTTTTTCCTAATGTCCAACCTACACCTCCCTTGCTGCAGTTTTAAGCCCATTGCTTCTTGTTCTATCCTCAGAGGCCAAGATGAACAAGTTTTCTCCCTCCTCCTTATGACACCCTTTTAGATACCTGAAAACTGCTATCATGTCCCCCCTCAGTCTTCTCTTTTCTAAACTAAACAAACCCAATTCTTTCAGCCTTCCTTTATAGGTCATGTTCTCTAGACTCTGGCCCCTCTCCAATTTCTCCACATCTTTCTTGAAATGCAGTGCCCAGAACTGGACACAATACTCCAACTGAAGCTTAACCAGCGCAGAGTAGAGTAGAAGAATGACTTCTCGTGTCTTGCTCACAACACACCTGTTATTGCATCCCAGAATCATGTTTGGGTTTTTTGTACCACAGCATCACACTGCTGACTCATACTCAGCTTGTGGTCCACTATAACCCTAGATCCCTTTCTGCCATACTCCTTCCTAGACAGTCGTTTCCCATTCTGTATATGTGAAACTGATTGTTCCTTCCTAAGTGGAGAACTTTGCATTTGTCTTTATTAAACTTCATCCTGTTTCCCTCAGACCATTTCTCCAATTTGTCCAGATCATTTTGAATTATGACCCTATCCTCCAAAGCAGTCGCAACCCCTCCCAGCTTGGTATCATCTGCAAACTTAATAAGCGTACTTTCTATGCCAGTATCTAAATCGTTGATGAACATATTGAACAGAGCCGGTCCCAAAACAGACCCCTGCAGAACCCAATTGTTATACCTTTCCAACAGGATTCTGAACCATTAATAACTACTCTCTGAGTACGGTTATCTAGCCAGTTATGCATCCACCTTATAGTATCCCCAACTAAGTTGTATTTGCCTAGTTTATTGATAAGAATATCATGCAAGACCGTATCAAACGCCTTACTAAAGTCTAGGTATACCACATCCACCGCTTCTCCTTTATCCACAAGACTCATTATCCTATCAAAGAAAGCTATCAGATTGGTTTGACAGGATTTGTTCTTTACAAATCCATGCTGGCTGTTCCCTATCACCTTGCCACCTTCCAAGTGTTTACAGATGAATTCCTTAATTACTTGCTCCATTATCTTCCCTGGCATGGAAGTTAAACTAAATGGTCTGTAGTTTCCTGGGTTGTTCTTATTTCCCTTTTTATAAATGGGCACTATATTTGCCTTTTTCCAGTCTTCTGGAATCTCTGCTTTCTCCCATGATTTTCCAAAGATGATAGCTAGAGGAAAATCATGGGAAAATAATGTGCTAGCATTCTCTACACTTTTTTGATGCATGGAGCACATTGTGAGGCAAATGGAGCACATGGAGCACAATGATCAGGCAAAATGTATAGTTGTACTTATTAGTGAATGTTGGAGAAGTTGCAGGTAATTTCTTTAGGATGAATGATTATTTAATGCTGCACACTTGCTAGAAAATTCCCACATGCAGCCATTCTTTAAAGACCCTGCATCCAATAGATGTGTGCAGTAATCATAGTGCGTGTCAGTTGGAAAGAGAGATAAAAGGAATCATGGGAAACACCAGGAGGAAAAGGAAAATTGTACACCTGACCACAGACCTAAATAGATGGCACATCCATCCTTTGAATGAAACATCAAAAATTGGAGGGAGGGTTAATTGAAACCCCAATTTTCTATTGAATAGAAACTTTGGGTGGGAAATTTTTGACAAGCCCTCACATTTGCACCAAAATAGAATGGCACTAGCAGACTTACCCAGCGTTGCCCAGGTCCTTCAGGGCAGGGGCCTGGCAGTGTGGAGGATGCACGGTCAGAGCAAGGCCTTGGGGATGTTAGCAGGGGAGTGCCTAGGGGTTGTTTTCCTCACACATACACCCCAAAACACCCCCAACCACCCGAGGTCTATTCTCCCCTCCAGGTCATCCCCTGGAGAAAGGGTTTGGCGTGGTGGGGGGCTACTTACCTGTGTTCTGGCAGGTAAGATAGCAGAGCCCCAGCCCTGCTGGCCATTCCCTTGATGGTAGAGCTGCTCCAGTGGCCACTCTGCAGGATAACTCTCCCCTGTGGGCTTGCTGGCCACAATGTCCACTCTCATATCCTGTCCCTTGGAGCAGCAGCCCCTCCCTTTGCATATTATGGAAATCTGTCCTTTTCCTGGGGTGTTCACAACCAAACCCTGACCTTGCTTTAAGTGAGGAGAGGAGGAAGTGGCATACCAAATTTGGTGGGACTAGTTCTTACTATTTAGGAGGAGTTCTTGAACAAACAGATGCACAGACATACGCACAGACAGACAGATGCTCTCTCTCTCTCTCTAGAATATGTATATATTTATATCTATATCTATACATGGTAATTTTACAAGAGGTCTGGATAGAAGACATTACTGATGTCTGAGCTGTATTATGATTTTCAGTTAGATTTATTACTGGGACGATTGCACTCTTTACTGCAAATGCTGCAATGAAAATCCAAAACTGTACTGATGTTGAAATGCCTTCACATTCAACATGTATTTCGCTAATCTTTTCTTGGCCACCAGGGGGCACATAAACTCTATTTCTGTACTTATTGTACATACAGAGAGAACTTCTGTGGGTTTCAACAGTGACAATAATTTTTGTCACATTTACCTGGGTTGGTAGCAAACTGCACATAACCATACAAGAGAGTGGAATCAAAATCCTTCTCCTTCTGTACTCTCATCCTAGACTTTACCCAGGCATTCCACCTATGCTGTGAACTGGAAGCAGCATTTACTTATTTATTTGTACATATTCTCGAGCATGCTAGGTGCCTCGCAGACAAGTAAACTCCTGCCCACAGAGCAAAAAAAGGAAATGAGAGCAGCTTCCCGGTGGACGGTAGGAGCAGACAAGATAGGGAAGGAAGCATAGGCTTTATAAATGCAGGGTCAGACCCTCAGCTGAAGAGGTCTGAGTGTAGGAAGGTGGCTTCTCCAGCCAAGGTCAATTCATCAACCTAAAGGCTGCTTTAAGTTACACCAGCTGCTGCAGTCTCTCTCAGGAATTGCTGCATCAGTGCTCCATCCTGCCTTTAGCACACTACCTTCCTGCAGCTCCATACCCCGAATACACTCCTTTTAGGGCAGCTTTCTGCAGTCTGATTTAACAGTAAGGAAAAAAGATATGCTAAAGTGGGAATCTTAAAAGAAGCAAGGAGAAATACGGACACGAGGACACCACAGCCACCCCACAATAAAAATCTCTGCCTGTTTTGTAAAACTGACTGCAGAATTCCAACTTAGAGAACTTTGGCTAAATGGCCTCAGTGCAGTCCTAGTGCGTTTAATTGGCAGCATATTATAGAGGAAGTAAGCAAATAGCAACTATATATAAAGGGGTCTAGATAAGCATTTCTCATTGTAAGCCAGTCACTTCATGTGAATTAGTTCAGGATAAGTCGTCATGCCTAGATAGGCTCTTTTGAGCACCCTCGCCCAATGATAGCCAGGCAGGACAAGGACAGGAGCAGACATCTGGTGCTGTTATTGGCTTTTCCCTGCCCTTGCTTTGTCCAGGGCACTCTGTACCTATAACCTCCTGCTCAGAGTCTGTTGAATGCTACCCACCAGACTTATCTATTTCTGCCTTGGTGTGGGTGCTACTTCCTGCATAGGTTTACTTTATGCACTCGGGGCCGGATATACACCTTACACTCCTCTAGACACAGCATCTTCGGCACCTCCACTGCCTACAGCTGACCTTTATGTTGCACGCAATTTTAGAGAGGTAACGTACCTTAGAGCGCCAGCACCCCTAGGCACATGCCTATTGTACCTAATTGGAAATCTGGTCTGTATCCACTTGCTTGCACCTGTGACCAATGTGTGCTGATTGGAAGGAGACTGTTTAGGCTATGCTGCTTTTCCAGGCAGCTGTGCTCCCTTTAATATTAGGCAACCACTGAGTACAGTATCCATGTGGCTCTGCCCTGTGCCCTTTTTGCTAAAGGAATCTTGTTTACATATCTTAGCCATGAACTGATATACTTACTCCCATTCCCTGTCCCATTGTAGTCAGAACCTCAGAGAAGAAAATTTTCACAAATTAGGGATTGAGGCCTTCAACAGATCTGCTTTATAAATATAGTTTGACCCTGTGCATTAAACAGTATCTGTCCTGCATTATAATATCCCAAGAACCACACCAGATTGCAGGCTTAGGACTGTAATGAAGTTGGGTTGAGTGATGAGCTAGTACCATTTGCCTTGAGAATGAAAAATATTCAATGCAATGACCCATATAAACTGCTGATGCTGATTGGGGGTCCAGACAATTGTTGATCTTTGCAGTGTTCTTTGTTTCGATTGTCTCTACTCCTCCTTGCTGGTTGCTAGGGCTGTGGAGGAGGAGAACACGAATGGCCAGTCAATCAAGCTGCAGGAGGCTTCAAAAGGTCAAAGTAATGCAGCCCACTGCAGTCTCTCACAGATTTCACGATGGATTAAGTACTTTAGTCTTGTGAGAGCTTGTAACAACGAGGAGGAACAGGAGATGAATCTATTATTATGGCACTAACAATAACGAGAGAAAATGGTGCAAACTCAGCTCACTCATGTTAGAAGTTCAGGTGTGTGGGAAAAGCCAGCTGCTGGCCAGGGAGTTGGACATGGTATATTCCTTTACACCAACATGTGATGGGCCAGATTCATCAAGGTTTATTCTTTGGCCTTCCTCTGAAACACTTGATATTAACTATCCATTTTTCTGTAGCTGTATGGACCCTGCAGGGCTTGCAGAAGTGGCAGCCCGTTTGTGTGCAGATGGTCAGAGATGGAGAGAAGTGCAGTGTTTTAAATAAGAATATAACACATTCTAGAGTTGCTTTTCTGCCCCTCATAAAAGTTAAGTGGATTGGTATAGAGCACATTGGACCTCTCCAGTCACGTATATAAAGGGAGACACTGCCATTAACTCCAGTGAGTGTTAGGCCCAGGGCACACTAGTTCAGGAATTACTAAGGCTGGTCCACAAAATTATTTCTGAATCTTTTTTCTTTTCTCTTTCTTCTCTGTTTTGTTGCTTCCCATGAAAGGTTTTGGTTGGCTGTCCAAGATCTCAAAAAACAACCTTTGCAGGATGTAGCCACCAGAGTGGAAGAAATCTGGCAAGAGTTTCTAGCTCCAGGGGCACAAAGCGCTATCAACCTGGACTCCCACAGCTATGAGAGAACAAGTCAAAACGTCAAAGACCCGGGGAGGTACACATTTGAAGATGCACAGGTTTGGATTTTGATTTTATTACTAGTAAGAAACTAGTAATTAATAGCTAATTTGATGGTAATTTCTTATATTCTACCTTGGGAGCAGTATCCACTTCGGTTTGTTTTTTTTTTAAGAGTGTGCAGTTGGAAGGGACATCAGTGATTTCAGTTCAGGCAGGAGTTTTTTTTTTTTTTTTAAAGAGTGTGCAGTTGGAAAGGACATCAGTGATTTCAGTTCAGGCAGGGTGAACTGTATTTTCTTCTCTAAGTCTGTTGGGTTTAAGAGGCTAATACTACCCTAGAAACAAAGATGTTCCTAAGCTGACAAATCTACAAGGATTATGAAGCTGGAGCAATGTCGGGTCTGGGCCATGGACAACCAGTGTATACTGGACAGTTATCAAATTACTGTCAAGATATGAGTAGCAGAGTTGGGCTGAATCAGGTAAGAATACCAGGAAATCAGGAGCAGACACCATTTGCAGAGAGGAAGCAAATTGTGGAGTTGGGGTTGAGCCAGAGTCAAGAGATGGAGCCTAAGGTTCACAGGCAAGGTGTGTGGAGTGGAAGCAAGGAGGTAGTCTGCATCATTGCTCAAACAGCTCCCTGTGATGGCTTACTGATTTATATATGTGCATGGACCAGTCAAAGAGCTGCCATTCATGCCCCACTGGATTATACTTCTTGAAATGTCAAACTTCACAGGGTTCCCCCATAAAGGCCTAGTCTGAGCTCCTGATGGCAATGTGAAAGCATTGGCATCCTGGAACCAATATGGTCTCAAGTTCTAGTCCCACAGGGGCATATATCATACCTCATCTTCAGGCTCTCCATCAGAGTGATCCAGACTTGTTGGGTGAGTTTTTTGGAACTCCCTCATCAGGTCTGGGGTGTGGAGAAGGGAAGCACATTGTCAGCTATATTTTTTGGAACCTTAATCTTCCCAGTCCACAAGATAGTACAGATAGCCATGTGTCTGTTGGGAATGGAGGATGGCATGCACTTTAGACTCCTCCTGACCCTGGATTTGGGTTGGTGCTTGGGAAAGAATTAGTATAGTACTTCAGAAGAGAAACATAAAACCTGGGTGTATTTTGGGGGGCTGGAGACGCTGTAGATGAAAGGTAGCCAAGCTGATCTCTTATATCCAGAAGGCCCAGGAGAGTCTGCTGGTCTTGAAAATATTTGTGGTAAGCCACATTTTCTGGCCTACTATGAAGGCCAGAGTTCCCTGTTATCAACCGTCTATATGCTGCCTGTAAGCCTTCTTCACCTCTGGCTGTTTCTTGAGCTCCTCCTAGATAAAACAGATCTGTAGGACCCAGTTAGGACCTGACTGGTCCTGGTCCAGGGAATTTGTCAGACCAAGGGAGGTCAATGCACTGGGCTCTCCACTTTTCCTCCTGGCCGCCCTGCTGCCCGCTGGGGGTCTCCTGGAACTCCATTTCCTCCCACCTCCTCTCCCTGTGGTTCTACTGACATCCAGGGCTCTGATTTTGCCCTTCAGTTTCGCTACTACCAGGGGTTTTCCCCAATGGCCCCATGCCCGGAGCTCCATGCTCCTGTTGGCAGTTCCCCTGCTGCCAGAGTCTCTCCCCAGTGGCCCCGCTGCATCCACAGACTCCATGCTCTACCCGCCTTCATCTGGCAATGCTTCTGGCCCCTCGGGGGCATCCTGATGATGCTGGACCAGGAGTGTTGCTGGATGAGTGAAGTCCAGATTATGGAGTGTCTACCTGTAGCAGTCCCCCTTTTGTGATAAAACATCTGCTTTCCTATTTCAGTTTCTCAGGTGATAAATGATCTAGCAAGACAGTGTCCTGGGTTTTCAGTGCTGACAACAGGGGCAGCTAGTATGTACTTGTCAACTGTCAAGTTGTGGTCAGAAGATAACTAGTAGAGTCAGAGCCAAACTGGATCGGAATTTCAGGAAGTCACAGTTAAAGTACATTATATAAAGAAGCAAAAAGAGAAGTGGAAGAGTAAATCAGATCAAGGAAATAGGGTTGGCAAATAAGATCAGGAAAACAACGGAGAGCAATTTCATTATCAAAGAGGCACAGTAAAAACTACAACAAAAGTCATGAATGAGCCCTGATTTTTAAAAGTCACCATTGTAAAGTGATGCTCCAAATTGCTGCACCAACAGTGCAGTCAACAGGGATGTATTTTGGAGACAGACTGTAGCACAATGCTTTTTGTAAGGTTAGGAGAGTACTCTTGAAACTTGAATCAAATACTATATTTCTCTGAACCTTGGTCACAAATCAGAAGAGGCGTGTGGAGATTCTAAGCATAAAGTAAAGCAGCCTGAAAGCTGCTTTTAAGGCAAAATAATAACTCTCTTTCTCAGCCACACCCTGAAGCAGGTGAGTAGGTGCTATGATACCTCTGTGTCGCCTGTGGAGGTGAAAATGTAATGGGAGAATATAGCCCAAACTTATTTTGGATAGAACAGAGTGAGTGCCAAAGATAATGATTAAAATAAGTAGTATTACTGTCAAGAAGTCCATCTTGCTTTCAATAAACTTTTAATTAGAAGAAGGCAAAAAAATCTAGACTTGGACTGATCTATTTTAATTGCAGCCCAAAGGGAGCTAATATAATCAAATGGAAGTTCTTTAAACCAGTTTTAGTTAAATGTGTTCATCTTCTGGTAGAATTTGATTCCCCAACTTTCTGTTGCAGTTAATGGAAATATTCCCATGACTGAGAGATTAAGTGATTCAGAGTTGCTCTGCTGTAATCTCTATTCTGGGTGAAGATCAAATCCTTCACCTACAAAAACACCCCAAAGATAGAATTCAGAGAGAGACTTTATGGGGTGTAGGTATCCAAGTTATCTGCTTGTACACTGAAGATTGCATCTAATAGTTGATAATCCTTAGAAAGCCGTGCCAGTAATTTGAGTTAATTGGCAAATTAACTAATGAGGCTAAATAATACAAAAAAACAGAAATGGGAGGTAACATAAATGCCATATGTCTAGTTAAAAAAAAAACCTAAAATATTGGAGCTACCATGGGTTTACTCTCAAGAAAGGCAGGCTCTGTTTGCACTGCCAGTTTTCGTAAGGGCTCTCTCTGAAGATGTCTACTTTAAGATGTGGTATGGGCTCAACTGGAGCCCAGTCAATGTAGGCTCCACATAGTGTGCCTTGAGCATCCTAACTACATCCCTTCCCAGGTGAGAATTGCCCTCCTGTGTAACTGGGTTGGCTGCCTCTAGAGCCCTAGCATATTGTGGGCACCTTTCCTTTACCTTAGTGTACAGGCACCAAGGTCCCATGAGAGTTCAACACATCACATTCCTGTGGAGCAAGCTAGACATAGTGAGTCAAAACACACCCATGGCAAGGAGGCAGAAATGTGACAGTTATGTTGTAAACTACACAAGACAGGACACAGAAAAAAACAATGTGAAAGTCTGGAGATAAGGAGAGACAACAATTCCGTTTACCAAACAGTGCATTCATTAAATTCCAATGGCTTAGAGATGCCCTAAGAGGGGAAAAAGAAGGCTGGCTCAGCTGAGAAAAGAAAAACACTACATCTGAATTAATAAAATAGGAAAAGGTGACCATGGAATAGTATCTTGTCTGTATGCTGATTTATGAGATGGCATCTGTACAAAATGCCAGCAGCAGGCTACTGGGAAGGAATTTGGGCATAGCAATACATGGGAAAAGGCAAAATGTGCTTCAGACTATGAACACTTAAGGACCACAGATTGAAACTGGAGCTTATTACTGTTATAATTCATTTATATAACACTTTAAATGTATACAAGATTTATACAACATGGCACAGAAGATAGCTTCCCTGCACTAATAACTTAGAAAAGATACAACTATATAGAACAAAAAAAAAAGGAGGACACAGAGCTACCTTTGCTGACATATTAAGAAGCATTTTAGGTGAGCCCCAGGCAAAACCTTTTGATGCTAATCCCACTCCCAACCCCATTTTAAGGAGGGTTGCATTTTGCTAATGGCCCCTAACTTTATACTAAGGCGAATGAAAATCTTAGGTCCAAACATCTCTGAACTGTTGAATAGTTGTAATCCAAATCTAAATTTTAGATAAATGTAGTCTCATTACAGTGGTCCCAATCAGATAGATTTATGCACAAATAAGTATTTTGCCACCTTTCCCGGGTTGAGTATGTTAGGGTGAGTCAATCCTGCCCTGCAAAGCTTCATGCATCTGATATTTTACTCCTGTATTCTCACACTGCTGTTTGTATCCATTCTGCACTGTAGCACCTCTTGCTATTCCAGTCACATCACATGCCCCCATCAATCTTTGCCAGCACATGTAAGTCCTAGCCAGTCCTGTCCTATGCTATTCCTTTCTTGAGCCCAGCTCCCCATTTCCACCCTGGACTTTATAAGTGTCCCCCATTTCTAATTTGGCTCTGATTCCCCATATACACAGCTATGCTAATGCTCCTCAACTTTGATCTGCAGCATCTTTTGTTATTCCAATCCTAGGCCCCTCTGGAGGAGATGCTGCCAATTTAAATGATTATTTTCTGCTCTTAGACAACTGCCCACTAAGCAAAAGATTATAATGATCAAAACAGTGTTCACTTGGGACTAAAGCAGCTTTTAATACAAGGACACCATGGGGAAAGGTCAGCTCAATTAAACCAGTGCACCACTTAGCAAGTTCTAAACTCTCAGAACAGTTATCAGCATCACTGAGCAACCAGTATGAGGCCCCAAGACATGACACTGCCGGGGTCAGCTCTGGAAAGTAAATAGGTACCAGTCTTTCCAAACATCCCCCTTCTGCAAATGAAGCTGCTTATTACCAACCCATTGCTTACTTCAGGTAGAACTAGGGGCTGAATTATGTGACACACACAAGCTCTGCTTTGTCCTGACATTTTGGGGGCTTTTCTTATAAGTCCCATTTTATTTTTTCAAATTTGTACTAGGTCCCTAGCCCAGTGAAATGTCCTCTAGCCTTCAGAGAGCAGATGATCTATGTTCCAGTCTCTCAGGCATGGCATTAT